CAAGAGCTGCAGATGGACACTTGGAGGAACCAAATCCCAGAAACACTGTTGGACACTAGAACACCTGAGGAACATAAAGACTTTGATTATTGAGGTATGAATAATTGTGGACATGGCGCAGAAATAGTTAAAAATGCATCAACACATCTAACACGATGTCTTACTACCTTTTATCACTTGTTTTTTTCGCTTTTATCCAGAAGAAACCCGGTGATCAAATAAAAAAGTAATGACAAATTAAAATTCGGGTTTGAGGATGAAACATTTTGCACCTCAAAGAGCTGGAGATCAACACAAAGAAAAAACTCCCAGTGGAGACGAGCAGGACGACTGTTAGACACCAGAACCAGGAAAATAAAGACTCTGACACTGAATACTGAGGAAGACTCATGTTTATGTGATTTCCAGCCAGAAGAAACATGTTGGGGAAATCAAAAATCACTTTAAATTAAAATTTGAAACAGGAGCTGAATCATTTTGAAGCTCATGTATGTAAAAGTGTGTAAAGTCAGCCTCTCCTTTAATCTTATTACCGGTTTTGCTGCACTATTAACACACTGATTATTGTGTTTGCTGTTCATATCACATTAAAACAACAGTAAATAAGTAATTTGAATGTGTCTTTTAATATTTTAAATACAACTTTTTATTACTGATTGATAAAAAAACATAAAATCTTGATGGAAGCGACCCTTTCAATGTACATTTGTGACAATTTGAAAAATTTTAGACATAAATTGTGAAGAAAACAGCAAAACAAAAACAGTTAAATGTCATTATAAACATCTCTAACAAGGTTTTGCTGTGTCTTATCTCTTCTTTATGTCGTTTCCTGCCAGAAGAAACATGTTGGTGCAATAAAAATTCACTTTAAATCAAAATTTGAAACAGGAGTGTATAAAGCCAGCCTCTCCTTTAATCTTATTACCATATTTTGTTACGAAAACATCAGTTTTGCTGCACTATTAACGCACCTTTGAAGGAAACTGAAGGATAAATAACATAAAATCTTGATGGAAATCAGGTTTCAATGTACATTTGTGACAATTTCAGGGGTATGAATAATTTTGGTCATTAATGTGTAAAGAAAACAGCAACACAGAAGCAGTTAAATGTCATTATTAGCATCTCTAACAAGCTTTTTCTGTGTTTCATCTCTTGTTCAAGTCGTTTCCTGCCAGAACAAACCTGCTGGCCAAATTAAACTCCACCATAAATCAATACTTTGGGTAGTTTTGGGTGTTTTGACACGCCGCCGGGCTCCAGAACAAACACCGCGCAGCGACTTTAAGGTCACGCCGGTTGTTTCTGACTTCCATCCGCCCCTGATGGCTCCCTGCAGATGCGCCGAACTGCCTCGTGCAGGAGCCGGCGGTGATTTGAGGCCCTTGGCGGAGCTGCAGGGCGAAGAGAGAAACTTGAAGCCCTCATTGTTGTGAGTGCTGTGCGTGTCTGTCTGGGGCGTCTCGGTGTTTAATGGCCTCACTATTTCCTGCGTGGAGAGGAAAAAAAAGAAAAAAGAAGCATTTTTACGACGGCGGAGAGACTCTGGCTGCGTGATCGATCGCAGACGTAATTGATTAGGAAGAGCAGGGTTCTCTCTTTTCTCTCCCACAGTTCCTCTCTGTGTTCTCTTCTCGTGTCACCACTGTAAATCTCATCGTAGCAGCAGCAGTTCCACTTTTAAAACGTGACTTCTTTATTTTTTTTTTTCTTGCCGTTTCACCTCCACTGGAGCCTGCTGTCCTCCTGTTCTCTCTACAATTTCAGCTCCACTCCTTTTCTCCAAAACTCCATCACCGTGATGGCAGCGTTTTTCTAAAGTGCCTCTCCTCTGACACGGCTTTCTTTCCCAGCTGTCACTTCTTTTTTTTTTGCTCTTTTGTTGTGATCTGACCCTCTCTCTCTCTCTCTCTGTCTCTGGTTGGCCCAGTGTCGGTGCAGGGTCCTCACCAGCGCTTTCTGCTCCGGGAGCTGCTCAGAGACTACAACCCCATGGAGAGGCCGGTGGCCAACGACTCCCAGCCTCTGACCGTCCAGTTCTCCTTCACCCTGATGCAGGTCATGGACGTGGTAGGCATCAGTGAAATAAACTCAAAAATAACTAGAAATACTCAAAAAGACGGCATTGAGAAATCAGTGCACGGGTGATTTTGATCGAGCAGAAAATGCACCGAAACAGAAAACATGTCGAACGTTTCATGCAATTAGAAGAAAATCTTGCAAAAATCAACTCTGGGTTTAGTCTCGCACCTGAAATGTTCGAGTGAATCTCTCATGTCTGCGTTTTACTGTTGTGGATTCTGTGAACTTGGAATAACGTTTTGTCCCTTTAAAAATAATGATAGATTTTTAGCAAAAGTGCAAAAATTCGTTTTTTTGCTGCGGTTTTCTCTGAGGAGCTTCATTACCGTAATTCTC